ATACTGTAATTATCTCAAGTAAATTTACAATTTTAACACAATTAAACTATCTAATCATTGTTTTAAGATTATGCCTAAAAACCTTTAAAATTAAGGGATATAGGTTCAATCTGTATCATATTTACGCCTCTAATTCCCATAATTTCCTTACAACTATACCACGGTTATTAGAATACTCACTATCTAATTACCCTACATGGTTAAAACACCAACAATAGATTTTGGCCACGAAGGCCTAATTTCCTTTACTCTCAAATCAACCTCAAACCTATCAGACCATCAGTTCAAATCCCTATACGGTTAAAACCTCAATAATAGATTTTCTCCATGAAGGCCTACTTTTTCTCAAATCCAAATCGACCTCAAACCTATCAGACAGTCAGTTCAAACCGCTATACATTTAAAACTTCAATAATATATTTTGGCCATGAAGTCATAATTTCCTTTATCTCAAATCAGCCTCAAACCCTTTAAACCCTTAAATCAACTTTAAATACATTGAATCACATATTGAAAACAATGAAGCTACAATACTCCCCATACCTTAATTGTCGACTCTAAGCCTTTCTCTTTGATTCTTGGAAATCTCGCGAAGCTTTGGCCTCAATCCTCTTCCTCAGAGCTTTGACCTCTATTTCTTCCCTTTTCACGGTCTAACAAGAACGAATCCTAATTCCCTCAAAATTCATCTTTATTAAACCTAACTGGGCCTATAAATTGGGTTTTTTCAATATTGCCCTCACTAACTCCTCTTTAATTGTCTAATTTGCCCTTAGTTAACTTATATTTATTTAAATTAATAATAATACCAATATATTCATATTATATACTATTATTTAAATAAATAACCTAAAATCCATAATTCTCAATATTTCACACCAACCATCGAAAATCACCAAAAATACGAATATTTATATTTAAATAAATATTCTAATAAATTTGGGGTGTTACAGGAGCCATTTCGACCACTGTGTTTACTTCAGATTTTGACCTGAAAATTTACTTGTTATTTTGTTGCTTTATGTGAATGACATCCTCATAGCAAGCAACAATGTTGAAGATGTTAGGAATATGAAGGCTGAACTCGATAAGGAATTCGAAATGAAGGGTCAGGGAGCTGCCTCCAAGATTCTTTGGATTGACATCTAAAGAGATAGAAAATGGTCGAGATTATGCTTATATCAAGAGACATACTTGAAGAAGATTCTCGACAAGTTTGGTATGTCGAATACAAAGCCTGTTCTAACATCAAATAATCCTCAATTCAAGCTGAGTACGACTCAATGTCCTAGTACATAAGTTGAAAGAGCCTATATGAATATAGTATCATATGCTACTATAATAGGTTCCTTGATGTATGTTATGGTTATACGAGGCCAGACATAGCGTATACAGTGAGCCTTGTAAGCAGGTACATGACCAATCTTGGAAAGGCACATTAGCAAACATTAAAGTGGATTCTAAGGTACATAAATGAGTCTCTAAGAAGAGTCCTAATTTATGGAGGAACTTGTGGTGATGATAACAAAATCGAAATCGAAAGATTTATCGACTTTGATTATGCAGGTTGTATGGATTCTAAAAAATCTATTTCTGAATATATGTTCACTATGTTTGGCACTACAATTAGTTGAAAAGCAACACTTTAGAAGATTATTACCTTATCAACCACTGAACCGGAGTATATTTCCCTCACTAAAGCTGTGAAGGAAGCATTGTGGCTTGAAGGTTTTGTTAAGGAGCTGAAATTTCAAGGTCAAGTTATCACTGTTAAATGTGATAGTCAAAATGTCATACATATGTCGAAGAATTCAGCCTATCATAAGCGAACCAAGCGCATCGATGTGAGGCTACATTTCGTCAGAGAGATAATCGAGTGTGGAGAAGTCCAAGTGCTAAAGGTTTTGATTGATGACAATGTTGCTGATATGATCACCAAAACATTGTCGAGTAGCAAGTTCTTCCACTGTATGCAGTTCATAAAGTTGAATGATGAAAGCTAGTATGTTCCCTTGTTAGTGTAGAGTTTGTTCCAAGGTGGAGATTTGTGGTATTTGAATCGAACTCTAGCCTCGACAAGATTAGCTTCAGGGTTCGACAACAGTCGGTGATGTGAATTTCGTAGTCGAAGTCCGTTCTTGGATGCAAAAATATGTTAGCTTGTTGTTTAAGTTAGCATGTTGAATTGGGTCAGTCTATTGGGTCAATTGTTTAGTATGTTAGTTGAAAGTTAGGATTTAGTTTTCTTATAAATAACATACTAGTTATCACTTTTTCATCAATCCCGAATAATCTTATTCAGGTGGAGAAATTGGTGTGTTTGAGATTCAATAGTAAACATTTTCTCCTAATGTGCTATTGAATCAATAATCTAATTTTTAACCACTTAGATTGTTCTTTCTCTTTTCTCTTCTATCTTTTCCTTTATTTTGTGATTTTTTTTGTTAATTAAGAAATCAATCATATTATGTTTTTTTTGAGCATTGTTTCACAACATCTAAAAATATATTTTTTTCAATCTATCATGAGCAAATTCAACATTATTTATGGTGATGTTGCTAAGGTACCTTCACCTGATCTAATATTATAGTTTTAACATATTTTAAAAAATTGAATATTATAGTTTTAACATATTTTGTGCGCACATTTATAAACCGTAAGACATAATCAATGTAAGACTCCTCTATGAAATACTTTATTGTAATATTTTATGCTTCCATAATGTGTTACAATATTTGTTAAGATTTGCAAATTTTTCTGTCTTCACTCTTGAATTTTTTGTTTTGTACGATTGAATTAGTTTTAGATCACACATTTTTTATTATGTGATACCTACACAATAAATTATACCTAGGAAATATTTTTGCAACCATAATCCATTATTGAAGTATCGCGATCAATGACAATCACTCGCGACATATTTTCTAGGTTCTTCAACAAATTGTGGTATATTTATAGAGTTCAAGTAACATTATTCTCCTTTTCATATTCTCTAAGAGAAAATTCAATTGAATATATCATCTTTATAAAAGTAACACCAACCATTTCTAAAAATTGTAGTGTGTATTTGTTTGTCCGGTGTCATGCATCTTTCCACATTTTCTTGATCTGGTGTCATCATATTTCAACTTTCGGAGATGTTCTTTATACTCACAACTTCTTTCATAATTCATCACAACAAATGATTTTCTTTTATCGTAAACAGAATTAGACCTCCTAAGAACTATCTCAAAATATAATTTAGTAGTTTATGCTCGAACCCACTTAAATTTTTCTTTTATCATAATCAGAATCAAACCTCCTGACACTATCTCAAAATCTAAACTAGTAGCTTCCGCGTGAACCCACTTAAACATTTGATCACATAACCTAAATTTCTGTTTAGGGGTAAAATCTTTTCCAGCATCAATATATGCAACATTGAGTTTAAGAATAGTCGAATCACCAACATGTGATACATTAGATGTGTTTACAACATCAACTTGTACCATGCCTACAACTATTGAACGTGAAAAATACATAATAAATCAAATATTACACTAATTAGGAAGGTTCTTTCCATACAAGGTTTGATAAGTTCTTAAAGTTTTCTTCCGCACAATATCTACATCATCTGTAATTTAGAATGATTATAATGTCAAAATACATATTGATTGTGACCAAACACAAACATTGAATAAGAAGAAAAGTTTTTTGTGAAGGTTTAGAAAAATATGAAAAAGTCTTGAATGAGGCTTAAAAAACTAATTACATATATAAAATGATATGCTCCGAAGTTTACATTTGAATAAGATGCGTCCGAAAAGAAGCTTCAAGAAAAAAAGCATTATGAAATTTTTATATAGTCTCTAAATATATAGGGTGTAATGAGGATTTCCTAAATTGTTTTGATTTCAAAGTGAATTTTATTATCTCTTTAACCAATAAACGAACATGTTATTGCACATGCTAGAGCATATATCAATAGGATGTTTTGAGGTCTCATGTTGTGGGACACATCAAGTGCTTTTTGTGTGCATGTGTCTAACAATAAAAAACCTCAAATCATTCGCATTATATATGATCTATCATCTTCTGCAAATAACAATTTCATTTACCGATTTAAGGAGATTATTGAATCCACTTTGAAGCCAATATAATCTGATGATTGCTCCCTTCATAGTGGATGCGGGTGGGACAGTACCGAATAGGTTCATGTAAATGAGCTCTCAATCTATACATGATCAAACCAGTAACAATGTCCCTATCAATGAACACATCGAGTAGGAGCCACATCTTTTTAGTGCAACAATTGCTTCACCAAGCGAGATGCGAAAATTGTTTGTTTCTACTCTCCTCTACTGGACCAATGTAGTAACAAAACAAGCATTGACTAATAACTGTCTGATTTATGAGGCCAGACCAAACTCAATATTTTTCATGAAGTTGACTACCTTTCATTTGAAAGACCACCTTTAACAATATTCTGTCATGTCATGGGTGGATCACTTTTTCAACACCATTCCATATTGACGTTGATCTGTGATGTTGCAACCGCTACAATGAACCATTTAATCGAGCCTGGTTCAATGTGTTTTCATATCGATAGATTTTAGCCCAACAAAAAGGTATGTAGATAAAAGAAGTCATAACACCACCATTACAAACTAAAACAAGTCTCTCTCATTGAAGACAGACATTTGACTGTCAGAGAAATATTCATATTGTACTGTAAAACACAAATCATGTACAACATCACTGGACTTTAGAAGGAGAAAAGATATGCTACTGTTCCAACAGAAATGGTAAGCTCTTCCAATGGAAAGAGGATAGCAAGGGGTATAAAGCCAAAATGCAGAACGAAGTTTGTAAACACCCTTGCCAAAGACTTATTTCTATGCAGTCTATATCTATCATTAGCAACCAATTCTAGTTTACTATCAGAGAAGAACCTGCAGTAAAAAGCATCACACTAGATGTTATCCTCGATATCCTACAAAATGACTATAGGTTATATACTGTCAATTCGTCTTCTCTTCAATTCGAGCAGAAAGCGCAGTTGACGAATTACGGTCCAGCTTGGATTGTTGGGGTGCCGACGAAGTGCTGTTGCTAATGCTTGAAAGAAGAGGGAAATCTTCATTAGAGAGCTCAAAGGACTGGGAGCTATTGTCATTCAAGCCAGTCTCAGAAGGAACCTCTTTTATTTCCTTTCTCTCCGATTGTTGGAATGCTGATGAAGTGCTGTTGCCAGTGCTTGAAAGAAGAGGAAAGTCTTCATTTGAGAGCTCAAATGACTTGGAGCTACTCTCATTCATGTCAGTCTCAGAAGGAACTTCTTCTATTTCCTTTCTCTCCAATGGTTTGGGCAATGCATTAGTATTACTATTGTTATTATTCCCGGCACTGACTCTCCTTGGTCTGGACCCTCTTGCACGGGTATTCCAGTAGGTAGTAAGAGTCTGAGTAAGATACATGCAAACATTTAGAGACTGATAAAATGAGTTATCATAAAATAAAAAACCAAAGCAATTTACCATGTCAGGTATGTATGTGCCTGTTCCTCGCGATTTCCCTGTTTCTTCAAGGCTATAAGTTGGATGTGGAGGAGCATTTGGATGATAGAATGTCTGTCTAGGGACATATACATCAGTACCTCTATGATAACACCTAAGCCAGCTTTGTTGTAGCTTAAGCATGTCAGCATCAAATGGTATCGGTGGGGAAATTGAAGGTGCAAGCGGAATAGCATAGTTACGACACATCTGAACATGTTGTAAGCCACCATAGAAACTGTCACAATCTCCAACAAGGACAGGCTCTTCAGATCTTCCAGTACCAAATGCAGGAACAGGAACATCGATATCTGGCCTTTGTCCTTTCCCATTTCTATTCAAGGTGTTCATGAAAAACACCTCAAGTGCTCCACCCATGCTTTCTCCTGGAAGATCAAGAATCTCCTTAAGCTTTTCAGCACCGAAGGCAAAAGCGTAACCAATTCGATGTAAAGTGCCTGCAGGAAGAAACGTAAGAGGTTGACGAGTGTGTTAGAATCAAAGAATCAACTCAAAATATTTATTATATATATACTGATGCATTTGTCACTAGCATGCAACATTGCTGGGAGCTTGACGATGTTTTCATACTAAAGTATGAAGTTGGCTAGCAAGCAACTTAAATACAAATAAAAATATTCACCACAGTCAATTGATGCTTTAATGGGAAAAATTACTTTTGTTGACACTGCGGCCTAGGTTGTTGTCGCTTTTTAGAGGATCCAAAATGTTCATGCACTTGATGGGAAATTCACGGGGTGAAGTATCGCATGCCTTTGGAACAGAGCACATATCCCTGTAATTTTTCAGAAGCTCTTTACTGAGAAGCAATCCACCTCGTTCAGATTCTGGTTTCTCTGCAACAAGTTGGAATCAAGAACCGAAGATTGGTGATAAATAACCCCATAAATAATTAATACATCCAATTGCTTATGCAGCCCCTATAACACTTACCAACAATTTCTGGAAGGGAGGATAATGGTTGTGGACCATCTATGGTGATATAGTTTTTCTCCCAATCAAATGTGCTGTAGTAGTCCAAAAATCTGTATAGCACCTGCTAGTAGCAGCAGTTCAGTGGTTTTATTCTTTATGCACATGTGATTACAAATCCTAAAAGGTTCAAAAGAATATTAGTGGAAGACTTCACTCACCTCTAGAGGACCGCACAATGATGAATGAAAACAATTGATGATATATAAAACTAATATTTCCAGGGCATATGTTGAGAGCAGGCCATGGTGTGCACCAAGAAGTCGGCTCTCATAATAGCACCAAGCTTTGACTAAGATTATGCTGCGTTTGAAGACATGGTTTTTCCCGACAAGTTGGTCAACCTAAGTTTTTTTAAAATGAAAAGAGAATTAGCAAAGCCTGAATATGAGAAAAATGCACAGGAAGAGAGAATATAAAGAGGCAAAATAAACAATGAACTCAAATGTTGAGTGGAGACCACTACAAGTCGATCAGACTGGATAGAGGCACACAAATTTAATAGATGATATTCTTTTATATGACCATTATAGACCCCAGAAATAGAGGTAAGTCAAGTAGTATAAACTGTAGGAAGGAAAGGGGAAGCAAAATCAAATATATATAAACACAGGGACGGAACAGGAGCGGGGAGTGGAACGGCTGATATTTTTGTGACTTGGACACTTATATAGTTAATACCATGAATACCTAATTGTTAAAAACTAAAATAATTAATCAAAGTTCATGAAGTATTCATATTTAAAAATAAAAACCATAAGTCCTAAGCAAAACATACTTCTATATGCCAATAAAATTAACAAAAATAACTTTGCTATCCTTAAAAATTGAAGGGTAATATCATATACGGCTTGCGTGGCCGGAGCAGCCACTTCAGAAAGGTGCCGTTCCGAATCCAATCCTATTAGCGTAGTCGTTCGAGCTGAGTCACCCATTTGTGACGGAACGGTGCGACTTGAAGCGGTTTTTTTTTGGTTTTGTTGCTCCATGCTGAGTTTAATAACATAGGCTAAATGGAGGAAAATCTAAATCTCAGAATTTGGGTTGGGCCTAACTCATCCCTACAAAACCGACTTGTAAGGTGAGGATTGCCCCCACTTATAAACGCAACACAGACCATATCTCTTAGCAATGCGAGACTAAATTCACCCCTTCAAATCCAACACAACAAAGGTGTTGGAAACTGCAATTAAGGCAAGCCAAATGCCGCAATTAAGGTGACTAGGGGCAGACCACAATTAAGGCGAAAATTCCAACACACCCCCTCACGCTTGGGCCTCAATGAGGCCGAAGCGTGGACAATGCGGAAAGCCCAACAATGGATCTAGGATAGACTCTGATACCATCTCAGAATTTGGGATGGGACTAACTCATCTCTACAAAACCGGCTTGTAAGGTGAGGATTGACCCCACTTATAAACACAACACATACCATATTCTTAGCAATTTGAGACTAAATCCACCCCTTCAAATCCAACACAAAATCCAACACAATGAAGGTGTTGGAGGCTGCAATTAAGGCGAGTCAAATGCTGCAATTAAGGCGAGTCAAATGCTGCAATTAAGGCGACTAGAGGAAGACCGCAATTAAGGCGGAAATTCCAACACTATATTTAAATTTGATGTAAATGACAATCTTAACATGGCATGTGATTTCATATATTTACTACTTAAACAAACCAACTAACCACATATTAGTTCTACAGTAATCAGGTTACAGATTTATATAAACTAACAGTAACAAGGGTGAAATTAAAGCTTATAGATTTTAAGCTCATGGTATATTCAACTCAGAACATGAACTAGTTGTAAGTATTAATTAGCAAGAATAAGATTTACCTCTTCCAAAAAGCGCAGAGCATAGAGTCCAGCCATCTGGTTGAAAGAGATGTCAACCGCTATACCTTTCACCGTGCATTTTACAACCTTCACCTGCATCCAACATCCAAGCATAAAAAAGGAAGTCGTATAAAATTGAGAGATAATAATTTTACTAAAACATTAAACACTATTTTCCTATCAGAAAAATCTAGAAAAGGAAGAATATTAAATATAAAAAGTAAAGAAGCAATAACAGCAGTGGAGATGCCTCTTTTTTAACATAGAATTAAAATGTATATGAAACAGCATTACAACGCCGCTATTTAACAACACTGGATGCACTGCGCGGTATATGAAATGGCAAGGGTATTCTCTCTGTATTCTATATGGGGAAGCAAAACTGTTGTTGCCATGTTCCTCATTTGCCAATGTATCTTAAGTCAATCATATTTAGAAGTTGTGTGTATATGAAATGGCAAGGGTAAGTTCCCATTCTTTTACAACACATAACCAAACTCCATATACAGCATCCATCAGTACATGATGTCAATTGAAACATTTCAATCATTGTATCACAGTAAATCAAACAATAATTGAGATGCTTAGCCTATTCCACCAACATGAATGACTACTTGGCTCAATTGAACCTGATATACATGCCCAAAAGAAATAGAAACCTAATATGGTAGAAGTAGTAGTTGCAAATCACAACCTTCTAATAATAAATGAAACTAGGTGGCTCCAGATATTTTAATAATTAACCGGTCCAATCTTTCATTTAAATTACATTGTAATAGAACACTGCTACTAATAAAACAAGCACTAGCATTAATATCAACTTGGATCTTTAATAGTAACAAAAACATTAACATTAGCATTAGAAGTTAGAAAATGAACTGCTGACATATGCATGGGACCTGTCTTATCGAATTAACGAAACTTTCAGAGTTGTCAGCTTTTCCGATTATTTCTACAAACTTTCCTTTCAAAACTCAACAGTAGCATGATCTAGAGTGACTTTTCAGAATATTCTATAGACATGGATATATTTAAGATGCTTCTAATTGCAGAGATAAAGGAAAACAGCAAATATATTGTTTTTTTAGGCAACAAGAAATACGTTGTTGATACATAATTTACAAGTCAAAATAACAAATGAAAAATCTTAAAAGGAAATTTCAGAGAATAGATAAATGAAGATGCTAAGAAATCGAAATTCAATAACTATAATAGCTTAAATAGAAATTGTGTTTCTAAACCTGAGCACGTATATGCTGTATGTCTTTCACTTCATATTCAAGGTTTTCTCCACTTCCAAGTAGATTGCATACTGCTTGTGCTAAATCCTCCTCTACGCTTTCTTGACTGAGAACTGTCAAGTCAATATCTCCATCTGGAAGGTAGGTTTTTAGTGGGACTGATCCAAACACGAATACCTGCAGTTGGCACACAAAAGATAAAAACGTTTATTTATGGACACCACTGTGACGGTATGCACATAATGAAACCAATTTGTTTTTGGCACCTTAAAGCTTTCAAAATGGAGGCAAGTGCTTTTTCAAAATAGAGTCAAATTCTTCAAATAGTAAACGTTCACCAGATTCAACAAATAATTGCGAACTCACCTCAACATTATTCAATTCAAGCATGCTTTCAAAATGGAGGCAAGTGCTTTTTCAAAATAGAGTCAAATTCTTCAAATAGTAAACGTTCACCAGATTCAACAAATAATTGCGAACTCACCTCAACATTATTCAATTCAAGCATTTCTAACTTGATTACCAGGAGACAGAATTAATAACCATATGTGCTGAAAACTAAGAAAATATTAGCCGCTATTTAACGACACCTGATCTTGGATAATCTCAGATACCGTGTTAGGTTTTATATTGAGCCTAACTCATCCTTACAAAGATGACTGGTAAGGTAAAGAGTTTCTCTCACTTATAAACACTTTTTCAAGTCACAACTCATCCAATATGATACTCTTAACAAAGACAAAACACATTGAGTGGAAAGTTGAAGCCATCCTGCATAAATAAGGGTTACGGGGATCTTCTGGGCTTGCAAGCAATAAGATTGGTCTTCAAGAATATTTTAAGTTAAATATAAATATGTACATGTATAAAAGAAAAGAGTAGTTAAACCGTGCTTGTATCAACCAAACAAATTTAAACAGCAAACAAAACAGAAAACATCAAAAACCACCCAACTAAATCCGTGGAAAAGAAAGCAACCTGATTAAAAGAAGAGAAAATCAAAGGCATTAACAACTCCAACAATCAAAGGTTACAAGTATGAAAAACTGAACCAAAATAGTCAAACCTCTCCCCCATAGTAACCTCCAATCAGCCTCTGAACGAAATCAATAATCTGCTTTCTGTTCACCTCAGAAACAACATTAGGTTGAATTGTGCATAGTATTTCCTGGGCCCTCTCTTCAGCCATCAACCAAAGCTCCTCATCAATTGGTAAGTGCGAATGGTTAGGCGAGGAGGACAATAACAAATTTTCTTGTATAGTATCCATTGCTACCAATATCATAACTCAGATGTCCTGCAAATAAAATCAAGATTAGATAAACACTCAAATGCAACAGAGGGTGGGAAAGCTAGAAATATTGAAAAGTAACTAAGCACGGACACAAACATGAACACCAAATACAACATCAACATGTCAGCTTCATCAATAAAGAGGAAATGGGAGCGATTAAATGTAGTTACATCAACATGTTCAATATTGTGTCAGTGTTGGTATGGTGTAATGTGTCAGACACCAGACACCAAACTTGACACGTGTGCGGACACCAGATACACCTTCAATCTATGGTGTCAATCCTGCATAATTAAAAATTGACAACAAAAAAAAAATAGATCGAAAATGAGTTTGTTGAAGTGAGTTCATTAGTGACGAATGTTAGAAACAAGTTGTCACAACGAAAGCACAGCTGAGCGTGAGAAAAACCCTAACCCTGAAAAGGGGAAATTTTTAGGGCTGATTTCACCTTTGCTCCAAAATCCATTCAATCAGTTTGATCCATCTACTATTGAGCTAAAAAAAATTAACAATCATGATTACTGATCAAGAGGCACTTATAATTACAAACTATTAACCCCAAACCGATCCAATGGAAGAACTTCACAACTAGCCATGCAAATCTACAAAATCAAGCAGTTCAAACCCTAAATTCAACTTAACAAGGCTTGTATGCTACAAAAACTATACATCAAACCACAAAACAAGTATAAGCAAAGGAGAACAGTTGCAGAATGAAATTAACAGTAGATCACAGTAAATAGCACAAACATAACATCAGAAATCCATATTCAAATTCAATCAGGGATAGAACACAATGACACCAGAAACCCTAAACCTAAACCAAATAAACAAAAAAACTCCTTTCTTCAAGCAAGAAATCACCCATATACTCAATCAATCATCTAAACAATGAAAAGAACCATACATAACAATCTACATTGGACAACAATCAACTATTTTTTAAAATTAAAAAAAAAACTTTTAGGTTACTGATCAAACCCATTGAGCCCAAACACAAGAATTCTAGGTCTGATCATGATCAAACACAAGTTCATAAAATCATTGAGAAGAGATTGAATTTACCTCAAAAAAAACCTGAAAAGATTTCAGCTACATAAACTGATACAGAAGCTCTTAGCCTAGAACAACTCATTAACAGCAAAGGAGAATGAAGAAGTAGAAATCAAAACCCTAATCAGAGAAACCTTCCACCTTCTTCAAACCCATTGATTCAGCGGACCCCACATTTCCTAACAGAAACGAGGTTTATAGCTGCTCATTCCCCTTCTAATCGGTCAGAATCAACATTTTCACTCCTTTATATAACTCCAAAAAAGGAAGAAAATAAAACAAGATAAGAACAAACGAAAAAAAAATCTTTTTTCTTAATTCAAAGCCTTAATCCCTAATTTCCTAAATTTATTAATTTCCGATTCCGGTCCACGTGTAACCGTTCACGGCGTTTTCTTTTTCTCTTCATCACTTTAATAAAAAAGAAGACAAATTTTCAGTTACTTCTTTTCCGTCATCGTTTTCCGGCGTTATGCTATTGACTATCGCTTTTTCTCCGCGTTTTCCTGCTTTTTCTCCTCAAATTCCGCAATACCGCTTTCGGTGCCAATGCTGTAGTTTTGTTCCGGGAAATGGTTTTCAAACGGAACGTGGTTTGGAGTTTGATACCGGGGGCGCATTTTACCGGCGAGAGAGTGCTACTGGAAGAGACCTCGGTGTACTTGCTGCTTCGTTACAGAAGAAAGTTAGTGGAAGCTTGCGTGTTCTTGATGCTCTTTGTGGTTGTGGCATTCGGTCGTTGCGGTACTTGAAGGAAGCGGAAGCGGATTTTGTTGCTGCTAATGATGGAAATGAGTGCTATGGGAGTACCATTGTGGAGAATTTGTCTAGGGTTTCTGTGAAAGAGGAGAAAAGATGGGTGGTTACTCATTTAGAAGCTAATAGAGTTATGACTGATTATTATCTTCAGAAGAGTTTGTTTGATTTTATTGATATTGATTCTTTTGGAAGTGATTCTTCTTTTTTGAGGTCTGCTATCAATAGTTTGAAATTTGGTGGTTTGCTTTATGTCACTTCAACTGATGGCTTCTCTTCTGGCGGCCACCGTCCGCATCAGTAAGAATGAGTTTCTTTCTCAGTTTTGTATTGTTATTGTGACTGTTTGGTTTGATAGGAAGCACAGATACTGAAACACAATACTGACACTGACATTTCGATACAGTAAACACCGACACAGACACGCCTTTTTTCAGAGGTGTCGGTGCTGTAGAGTTGGTTTGTGTAATGTAATAGGTGACTGGATATGTGCATGTTGTGTTGTAAGTTGTGGTGGATTTCAGACCCTTGTTTGGCCTGTGGTTTGTAACTGACTTTTTGGTTTGTTTAGTTCTTTAGCTGCTTATGGAGCATATGTGCGTCCTATGCCGTATTCGAATGAGATTGGTTTGCGAATGCTTATAGGCGGGTTGGTCCGGGAGGCTGCTGTGTTGGGGTACCATGTAACTCCGTTGTTTTCGTACTATGCTTATCATGGACCTGTTTTCCGAGTCTTGATCAGGTTGAATCGTGGGAAGGTTCATGATAGTAGGTGATGAATCCTTGTGTTTGTGCCATGTGTTGTTTCCATTTATTGTTATGTAGTAGTTAGTTACTGTCTTGTTTATTACTTCGATTGTGATTGCTGCAGGCATTATGGTTTTATTGGCCATTGCCACCAGTGTGGAAATTCTAATGAATTTTCTTGGGACCAGCTTGGTCAGTTCAATTGCTCCTGCAGTTTGTCAAAGGTATGGTATGGTTTGTTTGAGACTACTTCATTGAGGTTTTTTAATGTCTATTTATTGGCAAACTGACTTTGTGAATTGTAGCTAGTGTTGATAAGGAATATTGCTAGATAATAACTTCTCCGATCAATGTGATAACTTGTGTGTGTTTCTAATCTGAAATTCCTATTTAAACTGTTGCATCATTAAACATGATCATTTCCGAGTATGTTAATTGTTTTTCCCTTTTACTTCATACTCATAAGTTATAAATACAACTAAGAGGTTAAACCACCCTTTTGGACTCATAGTTTTAATGAATGATTGATGGAACATGAATTAGGAAAATTGTTGACGCTTGCATAATCTATTTGTGCAAATTGGTTTTCCAAAGTTCAAATTATGCAAAATAAGTTTAAGTTACTTCATATAAATGTATAAAGTGCCCTATTTCTTTTCATTTTTTTAGGTTTCAAACTCTCTTAAGGTATCAGGACCTCTTTGGACAGGGCCTCTTCATGATGCGGCGTATCTTACAGACATGTTAGATCTTGCCAAGGAGTGGGGATGGGTTGGCTGTGATGGTAAAGACAGTCTTGAAAAGCTTATAAAATTGATGGTGGATGAAAGTGACCCCAGGTTGCCATCTGGATATATAAAGTTGGATGAGGTGGTTCTTTTATCTTTGTTGCATTGTAAATAACGTTAGCTTCTATGGTGAGAATAATGAGTTATATTAGTTTTATGTGTATTTATCCAGATGGCAAGCCGTGCAAAAATCAATACTCCACCTTTGAGGACCTTGATGAGCGCCGTGCACGAGGTACTCAAAAAAATATTTAATATGGTAAAATAATCGAGTCATAATTGTGGTCATCATTGAATATATGTTTCATGAGAACAAATTTAACTTCATTCTATTTTAAATTTGTGTTAAAGGATTGTCATAATTGCATTTATATAATCTAGCTGCATATAAAGGCGCTGCAAAGCGGCCCGGATGGCAGGATTTTGGCTCTCTGCCACGGACCGCCATCCACCATAGACAACACTGGGTCCGCGTCAAAAGGCACCAAATGTATGTTTACTCCAAAGCTTGAATTCGTAGCTTTACAAAATTCCAGACAATAACATTTTGGAACGCGAGAAGCCAGAAACTAGAAGGAAACGTACATCCAAACAATTATCAGTTGTTTTTCCCAACTGCTAGTTTTCGTGATGTATTGTATCCTTGTACTCCCTTATCCACATATTCTTGCTGTTAAATAAAAAGGAATTAAGCCATAAAACCAGTTATGGTATAAAATTTAGTTATTCAAATTAGGTCGGTCGGTCGGTAGGTATATAAAGTAAAAACGAAGGGAGTTGCCTTGCTTTAAAAGAAGTAAAGCCATGAAAACAGTTATGGTATAAAATTTAGTTATTCATATTGCGTAGGTCGGTAGGTGTACAAAATTAAAACGAAGGGAGTTGCCTTTTATTCTGTATCATGCTATCATTGTCAATTTGTTTACTATGTTTGGTTTGGTGAGATGTTGAATCTTAGATTGTTCAGGTAATCATGTTGATTCTAGATGAAGCTATACCAGACATTCACTGATCTTGTACTTGATTTATTGCAGAAAGGTTATGCAGCCAGCAGGTCTCACATAATCAATAATGCAATTAAAACAAATTGCCCCATGACAGAATTCATTAGTATAGCCAAAGAACTACTGCCGGTATCTGTCTCTTAATGTTCATGTGTGTTGAAGGGTATATATACTTTTTTGGCTAATCAATTTTTTTGTTGAACATTAGTCTGTTTATAATTTAATTGACAATTGTAGTTTGTAAGTGACAGTGATATAACATTCTAAGTCTAACCACTACTCAAGATTTGAGAAATCCTAAATATAAGAAACTGCAATTGGATCCAGTACATGATAGTAATTCAACTGCGAAATGTTCAGGCAATGAAGAGTTAACAAATTCCAAGCAATATATATAGAGCAGGCCCAAATTTCTGCAATCGGATATGAAAAATAACGAAAATAATATGTCAAGCCAAACTATAAGTTGAAACACAACATCTGAGATATGGCAGGTGAACTAAGTTAACATATAAAGTCAAGGGACTTTTGTCTTTGATTGTGTTATGGAATATCTAGAATCAAATTGTGGTCAATATTTTTACTATATTCAAGGCATGAGATATTGCTGCAACTGTGATAAGAGATTGGAACATATATTTTGGTTGATGAAGTTGTTGAAGATCTTGTAAGCTGCAACTTGCAAGCTTAGTTCTACTTCCTTTTAAAATTCTACTCAGCTGGTCATACAACATCTCACCATTGATTTCTGTGGTGTGATGTTCTATACTGCTCTAGCAATCAAAAGGGTATTTTGTACAATCGGGATTGTGGAGTTTGGTATTGAGGATTCCTTGGGATCTTTGCATAAAAATATTTTACAGTGGTACATATCAATTAATCTGTTCTATTCATGTATAAGTGTATTAACAATTAATGGAGAAATACTACAATAATTAAAGAAAAACGACAATCAATGTCCTCTTTTTTATTAAGTCAGAAATTTCATTATTTATCTATTTTGAGAATTATTTATCCCATCATAAGTGCTAAAAAAACACAATAAAAAAATACGAAAAATGCTCCTCAAATTCTTTAAGTGTATTTCTGAAAGCACATTTTTTTCATCAAAACACATCCTAACTTTTGTGTATCAGTGTGAGTTGGAAATCTCACATTGTTTAAAAGAATGGAGGTTGAACATTTTATAAGTGATAGAACTCATACAACTATCACATTAAAGTTTTAAAGTTTTTGATGAATAAATTGTGTCTCTCTCACTTGTGTGTTGCTTTTGGGAGGAATTAATCTGCCACCCTCCAAATTTTCACAATTCCAAAAACTGCCTTAGAAAAAAATTTGAAACAAGTGAAAAAATTTTACATTACTGGAAATTTTGAAATTTTCGGTAAAAAATAAAATTTTTCGAAAATTTTAAAATTTTCAATATAACACTGATAATTTACAGAAATTTTTGAAGGGAAAAATAGAATTTCGCCACAATTGGGGGTGTCAGGTATAAGTGGGGGTGGCAAATTAATTTCTCTGCTTTTGGATGTCCCTCATGATGACCCAATTATGGTATTTTGGGGAGAAATTTCACAATGCAATTGAATAATTTAACAACGTAAAACAAATCACGGGATTCGTAGGCCACTTAAATCTCTAATATAAGGTTCTCTCTAACACTAGTTAGAGAAGTAACTTTATGAGTGTTGAACATTGTCACCAAAAATTAGGACGATTCGAAGGTTGGATTGTGAGAAAACTCGGATCTCATGGGACTGATCTATGTTGAATTGGGATTGCGAGAATTTCACTCTTCTCTCAATTTTTCTTTTGTTATTTCTCACCTTATGAATTGTTTGCCTAATTCACTTTGTTGGATAATAAAAAAAGCTTACACACACATGAGCTACTAACCCACATTCATTTAGTCCACTTGAAATAAGATGGATAGTCCACAAACTCCTTCGACCGATTAGTTGGAGGGTAACACCAATCCGGATACCGTGCGACAAAACTCAACTTTTCTCCTAGACAACACATTCGTCAACATATCTGAACCATTGTCTTCAGTGTGAATCTTATCAAACTCCATCAACTTGGAATCTAATGCAACGTGAATCCAATGATAACGAACATATGTTTCAACCTCGAGCGAAATGAGGAATTCTTCGATAAGTCAATGACACTTTGATTATCACAAAATAAGACATACTTTTCTTGTGTCAAACAAGTTCCATTGCAAATTTCCTCAACCATAACAACTCTTTTGACGCTTCCACTACGGTTATAAACTCGTCTTCAATAGTAGAGAGTGGAGCACACTTTTGCAACTTTGATTGCCAAGCCACGACTCCCCCGACAAAAGTCACCATATACCCCGAAGTAGATTTTCGATCATCTAAGCTTTCAATTAGATCTTAGTTTGTATACCCAACCAACACAGGTTTCTTGCATCCCAAGGTTAGCTTCAAATTCGACGAGCCACACAAATATCTCATCACCCACTTCACTGCCTCCCAATGTTCTTTCCCTGAATTTTAGAGATAACAACTCACCATTCCCACGACATGAGCAATATCGGGTGTTGTGCAAATCATAGGATACATCAAACTACCAACGGCAGACGAGTATGGAATGTTCTTCATTCTCAACTTGAAATGTAATATTTTCTCAACTTTGCATCAAAAACACCATATAGCACATTCTTCTTTGCAAAAATGCTCAAACCTTTTTCACTCATATGACCCAAACACTTATGTCATAATTCGGACGAGTTATCATTGTCACAAGTGTTGATGTAGCACTCTGAAACCCCAAGTTCGACGATATACAAGTTCAAATTCCTTTTTCCTTTAGCAACCACCATTGAGCCTTTCTTTAACTTTCATTCACTAGCCAAAAAAGAATTGTCATATCCTTCATTATCCAACTTTTCAATGGATAAAAGATTGAATCGATGTTCCGGAATGTGTTTCACACCTTTGAGAATTAGAGTAGTCTCATTGCTAGTTTCAACACAAATATCTCTTATTCCGATGACATAAGCTTGTCCATACAAACAACCCCAAAGTCACTGGTCTCATAAGTTGAAAAAAGAGCACGTCTCGAGGCTGCATGAGTAGAAGCTCCACTATCAACCACTAAATCCATCTCGTTACATGAATGATTGATATTCTCTGTACAACTATCACAAAGAACAAAGAAATCATCAACAATAGCAACATCTTCATTATTGTTACCTTCCTTTTTGTCATTGTTGTAGTTCTTCTTCTTATTTTCCCTTTTCAACTTACAACAATACCTTTTTATATGTCCCCTTTCCCTGTGATAATGACACTTAATATTAGAGAATCTATTAGAGTCTTCTTGTAATTTACCATGTGATGTCCCACGATAACTTGAACCTCTACTTTGATGTCTCCCCCTCGATTCGGTAACCAAAACCTTAGAATGTGAAGAAGAACCTTGTGACTTACGCCCTAACTCCTCATTTAACACACTACGTTTAACCAAGTTCATTAAGATGATATCATTCGGAACAGAGTTAGACAAGGATGTCCTAAAAGTATCCCAAGAATTAGGCGAAGTTCTGAGAAGCCACAAACCTTGAATTTCATCATCAAAAGTAAGATTCATCGACGACAATTGATTTAGAATCCATTAGAAAGTGTTCAAGTGATCGGTCATTCGTGAACCATCGTTATACCTCAATGACATCAATTTCTTGAACAAGAACAACTTATTGTTCCCAGTTTTTCTTGCATACAACTCCTAAAGTTTGGTCCAAAGAGAGCGAGTACGAGTCACCGAGCTCACATGATTTAAAACATTATCATCCACTCATTGACGAATGTAACCAGAAAACTTGTTTATGCAACAAAGCTCATTATTCATCATTTTTTCCACCAGGTTTTTCACTAGAGAAAACCAGAAATTGAAAGCCTTTAACATAAAGCAAATCTTCCATCTTATATTTCCAAACATTATAGTTGGATCCATTAAAACTCATCATCCTATATGTTTCGTCTCCATCGTTACATAAATGAAACTACGACTCTAGATACCATTTATTGGGAGGAGATTCCTAATGCAGCAGAATAATCCAACAAACACAATCTCTCCCAAATGTCAAATGCAAAGACAATCAATAAAACACACCAAACAACACAACATAATTTTAGCATGAAAAAACCTCCATTAATTAGGAGTAAGAAAACAATGGGACTCATAGGCCACTTAAATCTCCATTATAATCAAATAATAGGTACAATTAAGGTTCTCTCTAACACTAGTTATAGGCATACATCAACATACTCAAGACTTATAATCAATCTCAGAATACAACAAAAAAACAAGAAATACAATCAATTAAAACAACAACAAAACTGCACCTCAGAAAACCACTTGGAAGACAGGTCTAGAAAACTCAAAATGAGATCTACACCGTTCAGAATGTACCTTTATGAGTGTTAAAAAGTGTCACTAAAAATCAGGACGATCTGATGGTTGGATTGTGAGAAAATACTGATCTCATGGGACTGATTTTTGTTGAATTGGGGTTGCGGGAATTTCACTTTTCTCTCAATTTTTCTTTTATTGTTTCTCACCTTATGAATTGTTAACCTAATTCTATTTTTTGGTAATAATAAAGGCTTATACACACATGGGTATGAACCCACATTCATTTTGGTCACTCTAAATAGGAGGGATAACCCAACACTAACTGAGTCTCACCCCATATTTTTTCCAAAATTTAGTTCGAATATGCATCTTTGGATTCACCCTATAAGAACCCCATGCATTCTAACCGAGCCACATTCATTTTTAGATGAATTGATTCAGATATGAATCTTTATATTCACCCCAAACAGAATACAGAGATGTATTCTTTTATTCACACCAGATAGTAAATCTTGACTTTGTTTGAGAGATACACTAATGTAATTGGCGATGTATTATAACTATGTTATCATATTAAATTTTATATATATATATATATATATATATATATATATATATATATATATATATATATATATATATATATATATATATATATATATATATATATATATATATATATATATATTAAACCGTACACTTATCAAATAATATGAGAATGCCATATATAAATGAATAGATTTAGACATAATAAA